TAAAGGTCTTGGAGAGTGCAGGGATACAAGGAACATAACTATACATAATAAAGGGAATATACAGCAAGCCAACAGACAACGTCAAACTAAATGGAGAGAAACTCCCAGAGATCCCACTGAAATCAGGAACAAGACGATGTTGTGCACTCTCTCCATATCTATTCAGTATGGTTCTTGAGGTCTTAGCAAGACCAGTAAGACACCAAAAGGAGATCAAGGGGATACAAATCGAAAAAGAAGAAGTCAAACTCTCACTATCTGCTGATATGATAGTTTACATAAGCAACCCCAAAAATTCTACCAAGGAACTTCTACAACTCATACTTTCAGTAATGTAGCAGGATACAACACTAACTTGAAATAAAAAAAAAAAATCAGTAGCCCTCCTGTACTAAGATGATAAAAGGGCTGGTAAAGAAATCAGAGCAACATCACCCTTCACAATAGCCACAAATAGCATAAAATATCTTGGAGTAACTCTAACCAAACAAGTGGAAAATTTGCATGACAAGAACTTTAAATCTTTGAAGAAAGAAATTGAAGAAGACACCAGAAAGTGGAAAGATCTCCCATGCTCTTGGGTAGGTAGAATTAACATAGTGAAAATGGCAATCTTACCAAAAGCAATCTATAGATTCAATGCAATGCCCATCAAAATCCCAGCAAAATTTTTCAAAGACCTTGAAAGAACGGTACTCAATTTCATATGGAAAAGCAAAAAAAAAAAAAAAAAAAAAAAAAAAACAACCCAGGATAATCAAAACAATCCTGTACAATAAAAGAACTTCTAGAGGCATCACAATCCTTGACCTCAAACTTCACTACAGAGCTACAGTACTGAAAACAGACTGGTATTGGCATAAGAACAGACAGAAGGACCATTGGAACCAAATAGAAGACCCAGATATTAATCCACACACCTTCGAACACCTGATTTTTGACAAGGAAGCAAAAAATATCAAATGGAAAAAAGAAAGCATATTTAACAAATGGTGCTGGCATAACTAGATATCAACATGTAGAAGAATGAAAATAGACCCATACCTATCACCATGCACAAAACTCAATTCCAAATGGATCAAAGACCTCAACATAAAGCCAGCCACACTGAACCTTATAGAAGAGAAAGTGGGAAGTATACTTGAACGCACAGGTGACCACTTTCTGAATATAACCCCAGCAGCACAGATATTGAGAGAAACAATTACTAAATGGGACCTCTTAAAACTGAAAAGCTTCTGTAAAGCAAAGGACGCAGTTAACAAGACAAAACGACAGCCTATAGAGTGGGAAAAGATCTTTACTAACCCCACAGACAGAAGTCTGATCTCCAAAATAGACAAAAAACTCAAGAAACTGGTCACCAAAAGAACAAATAATCTAATTTTAAAAATGGGTACATACCTAAACAGAGAACTCTCAACAGAGGAATATAAAATGGCTGAAAAACACTTAAGGAAATGTTCAACATCCTTAGCCATCAGAGAAATGCAAATCAAAACAACTCTGAGATTCCATCTTACACCTGTAAGAATGGCCAAGATTAAAAACACTGATGACAACTTATGCTGGAGAGGTTGTGGGGTAAAGGAACACTACTCCATTGCTGGTGGGAGTGCAAGATGGTATAGCTGCTTTGGAAATCAATATGGCGATTTCTCAGAAAATTTGAAACAACCTTCCTCAAGACCCAGTAATACTACTTTTGGGTATATATCCAAAGGATGTTCGATGGTGCCACAAGGACATGTGCTCAACTATGTTCATAGCAGCATTGTTTGTCATAGCCAGAACTGGGAACAACCTAAATGCCCCTCAACTGAAGAATGGATAAAGAAAATGTGGCACATTTACACAATGGAGTACTACACAGCAGAAAAAAAATAATGACATCTTGAATTTTGCAGAAAAATGGATGGAGCTAGAAAACATTATTTTGAGTGAGGTAACCCAGACACAGAAAGACAATTGTCACATGTACTCACTCACAGGTGGTTTTTAAACATAAAGCAAAGAAAACCAGCCCACAAATCACAATCCCAGAGAACCTAGACTACACGGAGGACCCTAAGAGAGACATACGTAGATCTAGTCTACATGGGAAGTAGAAAAAGACAAGATCTCCTGAGTAATTTGGGAGCATGGGGACCTTGGGAGGGTTTAAGAGGAGGGGAGAGGCACGGAGGGAGGCAGAGAAAAATGTAGAGCTCAATAAAAATCTATAAAAAAAAAGGGGGGGGGAATTACTGATGTTAAATAGAGGTCGTCAGCAAATAATAAAAATTAAAGGCAAGGTACCGTATTTGATGCATCTAAGATGTTAGTGATTATAAACAGGTTATCTCATATACTCTTAATAATGAAAATCCCACACCATTTCAATTATGATATACTTTTCTTTTTTTTGGTTTTTCGAGACAGGGTTTCTCTGTAGCTTTGGAGCCTGCTCTGGAACTCTCTTTGTAGACCAGGCTGGCCTCGAACTCACAGAGATCCTCCTGCCTCTGCCTCCCAAGTGCTGGGATTAAAGGTGTGCGCCACCACCACCCGGCTATGATATACTTTTCAAATCGTGAACACATTCAGATTTGAGAAGTGAAAAAGAAAAAAAGGACTTAGACTCAAATAACTGGACAATTAAATCACTACACAGATGAATGAATAAAACTTAAGAAATAACATTCAATCCAAAGAGTTGTCTAATTATTCAGTTGGTATGAAAGACCATGTTAAAAATTCCAAAAGATACATTTGCTCATGAGAATGTAACTAAAAGAACTGAAGAAATACCACTGAATCTCTAAAATACAGGCCTTTTGAGTCTGGTGATTACAAATGCATCCTGAAGAAAACAACTAGAACAAACTTTCATGAAAATAACTTCTTCATTGTAGGAACAAAAGAATACCAAAATTAAAACCTTGGAAAACTAGCCAGTTTTAATCAATTTGCTACACAAAAATCAAAAACAAAACACTGAAAAACTGCTGTTACTAAAGAAATTTTGCATAGGGGATACACAATGAAGTACTCAATAGCAAAGAACAGGATCCTTAGCTTAACCTCCAAATGCTTAAACAAGCAAACACACCCACACTACATGCTCAAGCAAGAAGGGATAAATGTAACACCTAGGAAATCTGATGAAGAGCATACAGGAACTTTCTTTTTCTATTCCTGCAACTACTATTTAAGCTGAATTTATACTGGAGGATGGAGAGCTGTACCAGCTGGTAAAGTGCCTGTTACATAAGCACATAGGCTTGAATTCTGATCAACAGTCATATAAAAACTGGCCTCAATTGTGCACACCTATATTATCCCAGTGCTAGCAGGGCAAACAGGCAAATTCCTGAAGCTCACTGGCTAGACAACGTAGGCAACTGGTGAGCTCCAGGTTTGGTGAAAGACCCTATCTCAAGACAGAGAACAAGCCAGGAAGACAGCAAATATCAACCTCTGGCTTCCACAGGCATGCATGTATACACGTACACACACACACACACACACACACACACACACACACACACACTCTGTGTCCTTCTTAAAAGAGCAAAAACAATTAGGATTTGTGAACCAGAACATAAATAAATACACATATAGACAATATTGAAGTGGAAAGACTACAAATCAGTGGTTCCCAGCCTATGGGTTGAGTTATCCTGCATTATCAGGTATTTACATGATTCCTAACAGTAGCAAAATTACAGTTATGAAACAGCAACAAAATAATTTTATAGTTGGGGTCCCCACAACATGAGGAACTGTATTTAAGGGTTGCAGCATTAGGAAGGCTGAGAACCACTGCTATAGATGCTTGACATTTATGAAAATTTGAGTAACAAAGTTGAGTATTCCTTATTTAAACTGCTTGGAACCAAGAGTGTTTCACCTCAAGTTTTTTTTCATTTTGTGATGTCTGCATATATAAAATGAGTTATCTTGAGGATGAACTTCAAAGCTAAACATCAAATTCATTTATGTTTCACATATAACTTATAAACAGTCTAAAGTTAATTTTATAAGTATTTCTAGTTTTCATTATAACCTATTAGATATGGTCAGATACAATTTTTTCCATGGGCAGCTTCACGTTTGGGACCCAAAGGTTTCGGGTTTTGGAGCATTTTCAATCTTGATTTTCATATTAAAGATGCTCAATTTATATAAATTAGCAGAAAATAGGATTTGGCAGTGATAAAAGGTATTAAGACATGACTGGGGGGGGGGTATAGGCCTATAATTTCGGGAGCCAAGGCAGGAGCACAAGTTCAAAGCCAGCCTTGAGTACACACTTGAAGGCTAACTAAGGGACATAAATGCCTATTTCAAAAACAAAACCTAAACAACAAAACCCATCTCAGACTGTACGCAAGACTACGAACGATAAAAGGTTGTTTGTGCAAGATGCCAGAGATATATACAGTCAGGATCATGTGTCATGAGGTCATAAGAGTATGTTGCATGTTTAGGCTAAATGAAAAGACAATTTAAATGTTCAGTCTACCAAAGAAAGAAAAAAGTTTAAAGAAAGCTTATAGTTTAAGCTTTTAAAATGTCTATCCAAGTTATGATGGTCAGTTTACTATATGCCAAAAAACTAGAGTATTTTAATTACTAAGAATATCTTTATCTTTAATTGGGTCTGATAAACTGCACTCAGATATAGGAACTTTATATTAATAGTTTATTAAGACCATGAATTTAACTGATGAAATGCTCAATAGCTTAGAATAAAAATATACTGACTACTATCTTAATAACCATAAAGTCCTTGAATGAAGGCTTATATGAAATCAAGTCATATAGTAATAGAACTTCCTGAAATACTGTGAAAAATAAGTAAAAAGCATTAACTATAACTTTAATACAAATCTGATACACATAAAGGGCCTAATGTTTATAGGATTAAATGAATTAAGTTATTAAAAATGTTAATTACAAAATAAACATCTACCCACAATTTTCACACTGAAAAATATAAACTCAAAACTTTTTTTTAAAATACAAAACACTTCACGAATTTGCATGTCATCCCTGCACATCAGCCATGCTAATCTTCTCTGTATCATTCCACTGTTAGTATATGTTACCAAAGCAAGCACTAAACTCAAACTTCTATTCCAAATAAAGCATAAAGAAATAAAATGCTTCCAGTGGTTTTCCACTGGAAGCCAGCATGACATATTCTTCAGATGTTAAGCAAGCACCACTTATGACCCAATCATTCTGGTCCTAGATAATTTACCCAATGAAAAGATACACATGAGAGCATATGTTCATACTTACGTATAAATTCTTTGTAATGACAAAAGAATTGACACGTGTATACGTATTATAGTCTGCACCCACACAAAATACACTCCACAACAAAAGACTTAATTATCAATGCATGAAACAAGACTGATGCTGAATAGAGCTGTAAATTAAAGGAATACATACCACAAAAAATAAATATATAAATAAAATGCATGTTTACAAAACTGCCCTAACAAAATATTTTAAATTTTTAAACATTCAAAAGATACTAGATTTACTTACTGGTCTTAAGGTCTTATTAATGTCAAACTCATTATCTTAAATACATACTTTTTTTTTTCACTTTAAGGCAAAAGTGAGCACTTTAATTATAAAGATAAAGTAAACTTACCTTTTTATCTTCCTTTACTTTGTGGGCTTTCTTCTTTATCTTCTTTTCCTCTACCTCCTGGTCAGATGTGATCGCAGGATTATCAATACCACCTTTCCAAGTTTCAACAGGCGAAAGCAGTGGATCTTCTTCACTTCCTCGATGTCTTCCTTTTCTTTTAGGTTTAGAAGTTGTGAAAGCCTCATCATCACTTGCATCTGAGTGTGTTCTTCTATAGTATGACTTGGCTTTACTAAACAAAGTTTTAGATTTATATTTGTATTTTGAAGGCCTACGTTCCCCATGACCTTTTGAGATTCTATCAGAAAACCCATTTTCTTCATCTCCTTGAGTGTTATTTACAAATGAGTTTCGAATTTTAATAATTCGATTCTGACTATCATCTGGGACAACATAAATCTCATCAGAATAGCCCTTCTGTTTGAAAATTGTGTCAATGGGTTCCGCATAGTTATCTGAAGAGTCCATATCTTCAGGATGTGCCATAGGTACCCGGGAAGTCTGTTTTCTTGGATTTTTACCAATGCCAGCTTCTATTGTTTTTAAAAGGTTTGGATCCAGTTTTTTCACATTTGTTTTAGGTACAACAGGTTTAGGTTTAATAGGTGGAGGCACTTTATGGTTACGTTCATGATCGTGACAGTTTGGGGTGCTATGAATCGGATACTCATTTCCTTCCAAATCTAACCTGTATCTGGAACGGTCACTGGGTGTTGGAAGCAATTGTACATCATCCCCAATTGGACTATAAGGAGGTGGTGCTTCTGTGTCATCATCTGAATCAGGGTAGTTGTTATAGGGAAAACAGTCTCTTGGAGATGGGAGAAAAACATCTTCACTTTGATGGGTGGATTCCCTTGTGTTATCAGACAAATAGGAATTTTCTATCATATTTTTTTTCTCTAGAACATCACTGAAAAACAGTGTAAAGACCTCAGTTTGCCGATGATACTGAGATAAAGAATACAATGCTGTAAATTTAGCAGTTATTTCCGTTGCAATGTGTTCTCCTTCAGTCATTAGCTCCTTGATAGCCTCATTTTCAAAAAAATCTGCTTGACTGTCAGTAACTGCCACCAGTTGTACAGGGATGGTATCTTGAACTTCTGACAGAAAGGCGCGAAGCATTCCCATTGATGCTCTCCGTTTTGCAGAATAAACTAATATATACCCATGGACCAGTTCATCTTTTCTTACTCCAATTGAAGAATGGTATGACAATATTGTGATCTGTATTCGCCTCCTTTTTTCACCAATAATTTTGTCAAGCATTAAGGAATTATTCTGTCCAGCTTGAGCAGCACTGCAAGAATGAGAATCCAGGAAGGGTGAAAGAATGAGATCCACACTAAATGGATCACCACACATGGCACACATGACAATCCTCAAGTCAGCTTCAGACACATCCTTATTAATAGGAACTGGGCTCACCACATCTAAATTGTGTTTAACTGACTCCAAAACTCCTCTTAGAGCTTGCTTTATTTGTGATTCATTAAATTTACGAGGATACGTACCAGTAGGTACATCTACAAAAGGACACTGCAATTTGTTGGCCAACTGCTGTCCTTGATGCCTGAGAATTGGTAGATTTTTACTAATGGAGTCCCTCTGATTAGCAAGAATTAATGTAAATGGAAGATTAGCCATATATTTATCTTTTCTGATCTGAGACGCTTCAGTTCTTATTTTTCCAATAAATTCCCCAATAAAACTCAGTGACTCAATGGAATTAAATACACAGAAGCACCCATGTGGTTTAAAGGCTGTAGTCCATAACTGACTCAAAATGTAAGGCGATTTGGCATCAACAGGCCGAAGATCAAGTTCATAAATTTTTCCATCTAAGGCATACTCATCATCAGTGGATTGAGTCCTTATCTCATTTGCTAGTTCCTGGGCAAGACCATCTTTCCCTAAAATGAAAAGATTAACTTTGTCTATATTGGTACTATCATGATACAAGCGTAGGCGGCCATGATCCAACTGTAGAAGACTACTGGCAAGTAAGTGCTCCACTTTAATGTCTGTACAATATTGGCCACTGAGGCAGGTTTCTTTAGTGGGATGATACACAAATCCTATATGCTTAAGGAGAAGAGACTCCCTATCAGGTGCGAGTTTCTGTAAAGCTTTATATCTAGGTTCTTCACTTAGAACTGTATGGATTTCACTCATTTTATCTGAACTTGGTGTTGCATTAAGATCTAAATCATAAAAAAGCTCCGAATGCTCAAAAAGCATTTCCTGAAACTCTTCTTTGGCTTTTTCAACTATCTCTCGCTGATGTCTACCATATACTTCTTTGCTATCAGCCTCAGTGATGTATTTGAATGCTTCATCTTCCATAACAAAACACATAACTTCCTCCCATGGTTGCCCAGGTGAAATGAACTGAATTTTTTCTAAAGTCTTCTTGAATTTATCCTTCATTTCTATTCTTCTTTTCTCTGATATCAGATGTTGTACATGGTTCTGATAGACCTTTTCTGCTTCTAAAGTTTTCAGGAGGTCGAATGGGATCCGTCTATCATTAATTTTGTCTATATGGTCAGTTTCATCCCAAGGTGTTTTTTCTAGCACCACGAAGCATAACTGGAAATCAGCTCTCTTTTCCATTAACTTCAAAGCTTCCAACCAATTCAAATGCTCAATCTCTTCTAGATCAGGCAAGAGAGTATTAAAAGCCCTTGGCAAGGTACTTATATATTCTTCTCTCCTTTTTCTTATATGTTCCTGCTTGAGTTGTTCTATATGCTTTGAGAATGTATTTCTGGCCTTTCTTGTTCCCTCTAAGTTGATATATTCTTCATAATCAGGATGATTTTTTAATTTATTACTAACAGTTTTCCAAGTTGCATGATAATCTCTCACAGTCTGTACAAGTTTTTCAAACTTATCTGTTGCTGTGACAACAAGTTGTCTCTGTGTTTTATAAGCATCCAGATAGGGAATAATTTTAGGTTTGCCACGAGTTTTATCCAACATTTGCACCAACGCAGTGAAACATGTCTCAATGTTGACATTAAACCGTGCTGATGTTTCCACTACAAGGAGGTTCTTTTTATTTGAAGCAAACGCTTGAACTTCTCTAAGATAATGATCCACACACTCATCACATTTAGTTGCTGCTATTATCACAGGCTTTTTGGATTTTGAAAGCTGGACAAAAAGGTTATTCACAAATTTAAGTTGATCATCAAACTTCCTATTACATCCTTGACTTACATCAATACACAATAAAAATCCATCTACATTGAGCTTCCCTTCAGGCATTTGTTTCTGTTCAAAGTCTTGCTCCAAACCCAGCTGATCGGTGCAAATGTACATTAGTTTTTCTGCTGACTGCAATTTAGAGGCAGCTGCACGTTTTATATATGGTTGTAAATTTGTACTTCGATGAGGCAAGAAAGTCTGGTCATCAATGAACTCTGTTTGTTCAATGACATGGATTTTGCATTCTACTCCATCTTCACCATTTTGTGTTATGTCACCCCAATACAAAAAGTGATCATTGTTTACTACACGGCCTCCAAAGTCAATGGTGCTAAGCACAGAAGTATGCTCTGGATAATATTCATCTGCTTTGGAGCGTACAAATCTATTGCACAGACAAGATTTTCCAACTCCACAGTTACCTTTGTCTTTTTCAGTCCCCGAGAGTCCAACCACACTGACGGTATAGGATGGGGGACGAGGCTCTTTGTTTTTTGCCATCATAACTCTTTTCTCATGTCTCTACATTCAAAAAGGCAACCATATAGACTTTTCATTCTGAAAATAAAACCATTTCAAAATACAGATCCTGAATTTCAGAATTATATTTGGTTCTTTGTAGTTCCTTCATCGCCAAAGAAAGGTCTTGGAGATCATATGGATCATCTTCCTAGAAAGAGAAAAAAAATGAAAATCTTATGTGAGTTTTGTGAGTACAAAGTAAAAATGTCCACAGCAAAGTATTATGTAAACCAAAAATTGTAATGATATTGTATATATGTAAAGAAACCAGACAATTTATAATTTACTTTTACAAATGTACAATGGCCTCAAATTTTAAGGTAAAGCTAACAAAATGGTAAATATATAAATCTAATGGCTTATAGCTTTAAAATGAACTTTCTTAAAGCCTCTACTAACCAAACATGAGTTCTGCTTCTAATTACACTATCCTACAGATTTGAGGAAATAACAAATCTTTTCCACTGCTTTCATTTTCCTTCCTTCCATAATAACATGCTAGTAGTAACTACACTGTACTGCCTTCTCAATTGCCTTACAACTCGCATTCAATTTTGCTTTTTACTGTATCAGGAATAGAATCAAGGCCCTAACCCTAGCATGCTCTACACAACTCCCCTCAACAGCTGTCTCTCCAGTCTCATGACTTTAAAATATAAAATAACCAGCTTCAGGTAACAGAATTCCTCAAAACCTATTTCCCCAGGATTTTTG